TCGGAAAAGACACTCAAAGTAGAGGTTACACTGGGCTTTTAATTTGTAGCTGATTTTTATTTTCTCCTTTTGCTTGTCTGTATTTTCTAAAATGTTTATAATAGACTTATGCTGCTATAATCATATAAAAGGGAATTAAGATCTATTTAGAAAAACATCCGTATGATGTGGTGAGAACTGGCTGGTCTGGTGATCCATGAGGCTGGTTTGCAGGCATGTGTTCAGGGCAATGTCTTGCGAAACTGATTATACAAATTGGGTCATTTTTGTCAGACCCAACTAAATCAAAGAGCCAGGAGGAAAAAGCACTGAGGGGTACATAGCACCTGCTCTAAGAATTGAATTTTCTGCAAGCCCAGCTGCTGAAACTGCTTGCTATAACCTTAAGACCGGTTTTAACTAGTAGCTGCTGAAACATGCCAAGACTAGTTTTATACACTGCTGTCACTCACCAGATGTTGCCAGCTCTCAAGCCCTTCTGTAGTGACAATGAGCTTTCTTTCAAAACAATGTATAACGTCCCCTTTTCTAACAAGACTCACATCCTTCTCTTTGTCCTTCAGATATAGCAAAGACTACCCCGTCTGTCTGAATGCCCTACACTGCAACGCTTGATTCCCAGAATAAAACATTAAATTTGGAGATCCATCTCTATATTTTATTTTGACTTTGACAATCCGACTGAGAGAAAACCCAGTTGCTGCTCAGCCTGGCCGAGTCACAAGAACTTGCCAGAAGTCCTTACATCAAACTACTCCTAAGAGTTCTGCCTCTATATTTGCTGGCAGTTTCTGAGAATGTGTCCCCAGCTCCTTTTTTTTACCCTCCTCCACAGGTGATAATTGGAGCTCAGAGCCTTACAGCAACCAGGAAGGAAGCTGTGTGTGTCTCAAAGGAAAGTTGAGCAAATTCTTCTCAGAGGCCTTCGGGACCCCTATGGGTTATGTTACCCACCATAGGAAGACAGCTCCTCCCTTTGCGAATCATTGTGCTTTGGTAATCAATTTTAACTCAATAGGTAAAGAAGGAAGAGTGTTCATTTCTTCACCTAGTGAACCAGAGCAATTTCCTTTCTTCAAGAAAAGAGAGAAGGTTATGATTTCATAAAACCTGCTGCTTCTCTTTGGATGAAAGACTAGACTTATTGTAGACATCTTCACTTTGTCATGAACTTATGTCTATTTGCCTTTTGCTTTAAGAAAAAGTATTTGATGGACTAAAGTATAGTTTATTTTTAAAGCTCCAGTGTGGAAAGCAATAGCTAATATTATGATATCTATCGAAGAACCCATTAAAGGACATACCATTTGTACAAATGATAATGACTTTGGAAAAGATGACTTCAAAGGGATTGTTGTTGTTGTTGTTATTATTATGCATTGGAGTCTCACTCTATTGCCCAAGCTAGAGTGCAATGGCATGATCTGGACTCAGGCAATCCTCCCACCTCAGCCTCCCAAGTAGATGGTACTACAGGCGTGTGCCACCACGCTCAGCTAATTTTTAAAATTTTTTTGTAGAGACAAGTTCTCACTAAGTTGCCCAGGCCGGTCTCGAACTCCTGGCCTCAAGCGATCTTCCCACCTTGGCCTCCTAAAGTGCTAAGATTATAGGCATGTGTCATTGTCCCAGGAAAGACTGTTATTATTTTTTTGTCACCTAAAGGAAATCCCTATCCATTGAGGGAAATTCCAATTACCCTACAGATTTCTGATCTGGTCTAGGAAACTTCTTCCCCATCTGCTCCACCCTACTTTGCCATTATTTCTTGTCTAGGCTTATATCATGTGCTATCCAAAGTCTCCTTTTGACTAAAGCAATTCGTGTATATGTCTTGTCTTTTCTACTCAACGAGAAGCTCATCAGGGGCAAGTGACAGACCTGTTTCATTTTTGAAAGCTCTGTGTTGCTTATCTCACTTCCTGGCACATACTAGCAGCTCAATCAATTATCATCAAACAAATGAATTTTAAATATATTCATTGGCCATTTATTCGTTCATTCAGTTAGTCACTCGATAGATATTGTTTGAGCATAACTATATGCCTGTCATGTTCAAGGTGCTGAAGGTACAACTTAAACAGATCAGACTAAGATCCCCTTCCTTAGTAATTTCCTTGTTTAAGGGTCTAACTGCTGACCCCTGGAAGTTCATCTGAAAGGAGGTGGGAGGATTTTTTTTTTTTGTGGCCTTTACTTTTTCTAAGGATATGATCAGGATCAGGAAGCAGATAAAGCCCTTAAAGAAAACCTGTGATATCAAGTTAAGCCCAGAACTTCATGTGGCTAAAGGTACAGCTCCAGATAGGTCCCTTTGTCATTGAGGAATTGGGGCCCCAGGCATAACCTGAAATGGAGAGGATGAAGCAAAAAGAGGTGACTTGCCTGTGATAATAACACCCTTGAGTCGTCTCATTCCTTTCTCTCTTCTTCCTAAAGTCAAAAATTTGGGAACTCTATGGATTCAGAAAAGGAGAAACTAAGATAAAGGCCTCTGTGTGGGCTGAATGGTAGCTGGCCACTTTAAAGAAGTCAAGAAGCCTGGATAGGACCTAGGATGAGGAAGACCCACAGTGTCTGAGCTTGGGACGGAGTTGGAGGCAAGAAGAGACAGGTAACTTCCAGGATCAGGAAGCAACCCACTGGGAATTCTCAGAAATCTTAGGGCGGGTGCAAGATTTCCTGAAATCTGTGTGATTGAACCCTGAGCTATTTTTTTTTTTTTTTAATTGGAGTTTCACTCTGTCACCCAGACTGGAGTGTGGTGGCACGCTCCCAGCCACTGCAGCCTTGACCTGCTGGGGTCCGGCGATCCTTCCGCCTCAGCCTTCCAAGTAGCTGGAACTATAGGCTCACACTACCACGCCCGGCTAATTTTTGATTTACTGTAGAGATGAGGTCTTCCCAAGTTGCCCAGGCGGGTCACGAACCTGCGGGCTCAGGCAATCCACTTGCCTCAGCCTCCCAAAGCGCCGGGATTATAGGCTGAGCCACCGAGCCCAGCAAATTTTTGATTTATTGTAAAGATGAGGTTTCACCAAGTTGCCCAGCTGGGTCTCGAACCTGCGGGCTCAAGCAGTCCATTCGCGTCGTCCTTCCAAAGTGCTGGGATTACAGGCTGAGCCACCGAACCCGGCAGCTATTTTATTTGGACATGAGTGGAAAGCTTGGGCTTGAAAAGCTGGGTATGTGGGAAAATCCAGATTATTCTGCAGTCTTTCTTCTCCTCCACCATAGGCGAGCAGTTCATTGGCAGCTCTTTACAGGATTCTGAATGTGTTAATGTGGTGGGTCTTCTTGTCACCTCACTTCCAGAAAACCCAAGAACTTTGAAAGATCTCTACTCAAAAAAGAATCACATTTAAACAACTTTCACTCATACCTGGAAATAAACTTTCTCTCAATTAAAAGGAGACAGTCTGGGCACTGTGGTTCATGCCTGTAGTCCCAGCACTTTGAGATGCTGAGGTAGGAAAATCACTTGAGCCCAGGAGTTTGAGACAAGCCTGGGCAACAACCTCATCTCTACAGAAAATAAAAAAATTAGCTGGGTGTGGTGACAAGCACATACTTGTAGTCCCAGCTACTCAGGAGGCTGAGATGGGAGGATCGCTTAAGCTCAAGAGGTCAAGGCTTCAGTGAACCAGAATCAGGCGACCGTACTCCAGCCTGGGTGACAGAGAGTGTCTCTCTCTCTCTCTCACACACACACACACACACACACACACACACACACACACACACACACACACATGGAAATAGAATATAAATCTAAGTTTACATAATATAAAATACAGAACAAATTTAATTGTTTTGTGAAACTTTTCTGGACATGTTATATGCACTGGACCCTTAGGTCTCAGTAGCCTACTGTTTTTCTCTGAGAGATCCAGAACTAATCCCAGGAAAAAGCAGAAAGACTCTCAAGTTCATGGCTTTGGTGCTTTCTTTGCCCACAAAGAGAAAGCCACGACTTGTTTGTCCAACAACCAGAGTAACTTGTTTCTGGATGGAGATAGTCACTATGAGATCGAAATTGCACACATCTCAACCGTCCAGATCCTCACGGAAGGCTTCCTTCCTGGAGAAGGCAACATACAGCGACAGGCATGTGCCTGCAGTACGCAGTGCCAGGGACAGAGGGTGTGGCCTATTGAAGCTGACAGCTGGGGAGGATGCTAAAGCTGACAGGAGGCAGGCAATGGCGTGGCTGGTGGCCGTGCACAAGGCCACCACGCTCCTCTAGAATCTTGGGACCAGTAATGCCGTGTGGAGCAGGGCTGTTTTCCACGCTGCGATACTTCTAGAACCTGATTCACTAGCAGTCTATTTGCACGAGCCACTCTGTATGTGCAGACTGAATGGGAGCAGCCTTGACCAAAACTCCCAGCAGCAGGGGCAGTGTGAGCACTGCCTCATCACCAAACTCCTCCATCCCAACTCTCAAAAAAGCCACTAAACCCAGGGCAACCCAAAGTCTCACTAAAATAGCAAATTCAATTTGACTAGAACAAACGCCCACTTTCCTCAAAGGTACACATTCCTGAACTGCTCTCGCTTTGAAATTGAACTTTGGGAATAAAGGTTTGAATGATCATCTTGGTTTGGGGGAGACCTATGTGGCAAATTACCTCCCCTCTATTTCTGTAAAAAGTGAGCACTCAGAGAAAACATGGAACCCCCAAACTTCCATCTAAAAATTTAAACTTTTTTTCAAAATGGGTTTTAATCATAAGCTTTATGTACAAATTGCTGTACAGTCATTTTAATAAAGTGAAATAGTGAAAAGTCCAAACACAAAGCCAGCAGCTTCCCCTTAGTGAAGTATCAAAGGATGTTCATGGTCCAAAGTTAGCAACCAAGTAAGTGGACAGTCTGTAGAACAGGCTAAGGCAATTGCGTAGTTTAAAGCGTTAATAAACTGTGTATCTATTGCATTAGGTAAGTGAACAGTTCGGTTTCTCCAATATGTGAGTTGTGTTTCCCAGCACAAGCAGGATTCACCCTGCTATTCCAAGCAACTCGGAACTGGTGGCAAGATGTACTCCAAGCCCTGCACCACATGGTCCCGACATCTGTAGGAGTTTGGTGCCCTTGTGCGTGGCCGCCAGCCACGCCATTGCCTGCCTCCTGCCAGCATTAGCGTCCTCCCCGGCTGTCAGCTTCAGTTAGACCACACCCTCTGTCCCTGGCACCGTGTGTTGCCTCCTCCAGGAGGATAGCCTTCCGTGAGGATCTGGGCGGTTGAGATATGTGCAATTTCGATCTCATAGTGGCTGTCTCCATCCAGAAACAAGTTACTCCGGTTGTTAGAAAGACAAGTCATGGTTTCAGATTTCTCTGAGTTTCCAAAAGTGACGAGGAAGTTGGCTCCGCTCAGGAGTACCTTGAGCTGCTCGTCATAGAAGTCCATCTCCTTGTGGGACACCAGGGCGCACTCTGCGCACTGACCCACGGGGCCCGCGCAACACATGTGCCGCAGTGGCACCTTCTGGCTGCAGCACCGGTCGCAGAAGCACCTCCCACAATGGCGACAGTGGTGCTTTCTGGTGATAAAGCCAAGCTTGGCGTCACACTGCATACATCTTGGATGCTCCTTGTCTGGGACCCACGGTGGCACCGCCAGGCCTAACGGGCTTCCGAAGACGCGGTGCACGGGCACCATGCGCAGGCCGCTGGGGGAGCGCACCAGCTTGTTGGTGTCGCGCACCGACAACCTTCGACACATGTGCCGCCTCAGCCATTACCCGCGGGCCCGCACTCGTACCCCTCAACCAGCCGGGCGGCCCTGGCTGCCTTGCCCACAAAATATAAACTTCTGTTGAGGAGGATGTCACATTTACAACAACCAAAGCAGGTCATCACAGCGACACTCAGGTGGTTTAGCCACATGCCTGTCATATTCCATCTGTAGTTGAGACTTACAACCCTTTTAGGCTTAACCTCTCCTGTTTGGAGGCTGTAAAACAAATTGAATAATGGAGAACATTTAGCATCATTTGCTTTCATAAAACTGATTGAAAGAACTGAGAAGTTTCTCGAGTTGACATCATTTAACTCCTTACCTTGATGGTATTACTTTGCTCCCTTAAAGCCTTTTTTTTTTTTTTTTTTTTTTTTTGAGTTGGAGTCTCACTCTGTCGCCCAGATTGGAGTGCAGCAGCCGCTCCCGGCCACCGCAGCCTCGGTCTCCTGGGCTCCAGCGATCTTTTCGCCTCAGCCTTCCAAGAAGCTGGAACTACAGACATGCGCTACCAGGCCCGGCTAGTTTATTATTATTATTACTATTTATTGTAGAGACGAGGTCTCACCAAGTTCCCCGGGTGGGTCTCGAACCGGCGGGCTCAGACAATCCACTTACCTCAGTCTCCCAAAGCGCTGGGATTACAGACTGAGCCACCGAGCCCGGCTCCCTTAAAGCTTTTAATGGTCCCAGATAAATCAGCTTTTGCATCACCTCACCACTTTCTGCAATCTGAATCCTCTGTGTCCTGATCTAGGATTGAATATGATTAAAAATTAATTTACTTTTGATCACTTTTTGCTGAGTCTTTCTACCCTCCATGGAGGTTATCTGCATTGAAAAATTCACAAACCAGGTGTGGTGGCTCACACCCATAATCTCAGCACTTTGGGAGACAGAGACGAGAGGATTGCCTGAGTCCAGGAGTTTGAGACTAGCCTGGGCAACTTGGCGAGATCTCGTCTCTACAGTAAAACAAACAAACAAAAATTAGCCAGGCATGGGGGTGCATGCCTGTAGTTGCAGCTACTTGGAAGATGGAATTTCAGTTTGGCTTGAACTCGATTTTTTGAAAGTTTCCATTGGTCTCTTTAAAAATGAGAAAGGGAATGTTTTAGAAGCTGAGACAGAAGGCAGGCGATAAGGCTAGCCACAACTAAAAAGATGTCCAGAAGTTAGCAGCCAAATAAAACAAAACCCAAACAAAACAAACCCGGGATGCTCTCTTCCTCTGCCCCGCAGGCTCATCTGCTGGTGAACTCAGCCACCTCAGTCTAGAAGACTCTGTCCCAGTGTCATTGCACAGACTGAGTTTGAGCCTGTTCTTCACATGTACCTTTCAGCACCTTGCACAGTCTTTATTCCACCACATTCCTCATGTTTCTGAGTCCACTTGTCTGTCACTGCTAACATCCAGCACCGTCTTGTCTAGTCTGTGATCCTTGTGTATGTTAATTAGTGCTAGTAGTTGAATTAGTAGCTAAGTGCTATCTGCTCTTCTTCTCATAGAACAAGGTTTCTTAGCTCTTTTGACATCTTGAGCCAGGTAAGACTTTAGGTGGGGCTGTCCTGTGCCCTGCATGAGGTTTAGCAGCAGTCCTGGCACTTACCCACTAGATGCCAGGATCACCTCCATGTCCCGAATCTCTGCAATCAAAATGTTTCTGGATGTTGCAAAATCCAACCCCCTCCAAGAACCATTGCCCTCTTATTTTTATTTTTTAGAAGAAAACACCAATATTTTACTAATATAGTCTCCAGATTCTACTTTAAACATAAATTTTTAAAACCACATTAAAACCAAAGTTAAAAAAAATTATCCCTGAGAGGTAGGTTTACTAGTAACTTCTCTAGGGTAGCAGTTAAGGGCATAGAGTATGGAACCAATTGCTTCAATTTAAAATCCAGTTGTCTCATAAACTAACTGTGTGATCTTGGGGAGGTTCCTTAACTTCCCTATGCAACTTCAGCTAAAGAATAATTCAATTAATCTAAATCATAATCTAAAATAATAATATTGCCCACTGAAAACAGTTATTGAGAGGTTTACTATTTAAGTTCGTATTTGAAACGCTTTTAGAACAGTTCCCAGCACAAAGTAAGCAAGACATAAACATTAGCTCAAAGCCAAGAAGCACAAGGCTTTAAAAAACTCTCCAAATTCAAGCATGCCTGCTTAGAACTATTTGGAAGTCCTGTTTCTGCTGCCAGAGGGATCAGCGTAGATCCTGCAAAATGTACAAAACATCTCAATACCTACAACATTTTGGAACTGAATTGTAAGGTTCCAGTCAAATCTGTAAGTTTCTACTCTTAAGACTTGACCTTTCTTCAGTTGTGACTTCAACTACTCATTTTAGCAAGTAAGAAATACAGTGAGTCTTGGCTACAAGACTGGAAATCTCATTGCCTTCTGTGTGTAATAGTCAGTGGTTCACACTTAACTACTAGAAGCAAACTCACAATGGAAACCAGTTGGCTGCTATTTTGATAACATAGTCAAGTTGATTTGTGTTTTCTGGGTCATCATTCTCTAAGGAATTTATTTTTGCTTATTTTCCTTCCCTTTTTGTAATAATTTTTAAAAGTTTGAAACATGTCATGCCTTTGTTCTCATTGTGCAACAGTATTTTATTTATTTATTTATTTATTTTTGAGTTAGAGTCTCACTCAGCCGCCCAGACTGGAGTGCAGTGGCCGCTCCCGGCCACTGCAGCCTTGACCTGCTGGGCTCCAGCAATCCTTTCGCCTCAGCCTGCCAAGTAGCTGGAACTACAGGCATGAGCTACCATGCCCGGCTGATTTTTTGATTTATTGTAGAGATTAGGTCTCGCCAAGTTGCCCAGGCAGGTCTTGAATGTGCAACGGTTTTTAGATGGTCATCTGTGATAATACGTTTTCCTGACGCCACATTTCAATATTGTATTTTATTTGTTTGTTTATTTTTGAGTCAGAGTCTTACTTTGTCACACAGGCTGGAGTGCAGTGGCACGCTCACAACCACTGCAGCCTAGACCTGCTGGGCAGGTGATCCTTCTGTCTCAGCCTTCAAGTAGCTAGAACCACAAGCGTGTGTCACCATGCCCGGCTAATTTTTTGATATATTGTAGAGAAGAGGTCTTGCCAAGTTGCCCAGGCTGGTCTTGAACCCCTGAGTTCAGGCAATCCTCTCGTCTACACCTCCCAAAGTGCTGGGATTACAAGTGTGAGCCACTGCACCCAACCTCAATACTGTATTTTAGAGGCAGCATAGTGCAGTGGTAAGGACATTGGCTTTGGGGCTCAAATGCCACTTTTGCGACTAACTAGATGTGTGACCTTGGGTGAGGCACTCAATTTCTCTGGCTCAGTTTCTTCTTGCATAAGGTAAGATTGATATTACTACTCAGAAAGTCTCCATCTTCAGAAGATAGTACAGAGGAAAACTCATGGCTAAGGTTCTACATATATTAGCCATTACCGTTCCTAATATCTCATAACCAGAGAGTAGGTCATGCTCTTTCAATAAGTTTTATGTTCATTATCTCACTTGACAATGAAATTTTTGTTCAAAAAATGAAAGAGGCTCTGATTCAGTAGGCTCTGATTCAGTAGGTCTGAGGGGACTGGAGATTCTGAATTTGGAGCAAGCTCGGAGAAGGTACCGATCCTGCTAATTCATGGACCTCACTTGAAATAGTGAGGACCTGTAACTGGTTGCATCAACCTCTGGCATTTCTGATGTCTTCAAGCTAATCTTCATCAGAATTCAAAGAAAACAAAGTGTGCAGAAAAATAAGCCACACGGCATATGATGGGATAACTCCCAAAGTTATCTTCTCACTATTGTGAGATCACATGGGAGTTTATCACCAAAATACCCATGGAACTTGAAAGTATTGGTACAAACAGGCAACCCTACATTTTGCCAAGGCCCACAATCAATGAAGATTTCTACTCTGTTGCCTGATTGGAGGTCCTGCTGGGAGTAACAAAAGTTCCTTCCTTCCTTGCCTTCACTTAGTACTAGGGAGCTTATTACCAATGGGTGGGGGGTGGAGGGGTCCATAAAAAATAATGCTTCTCTTTCTTCTGAAAACTGAGTATTTCCTGTGTACATTTGGTTTTCTTTTACAGATATTTCAGCTATTTTTGATTTGTTGTGTAACCTAGGTAACCCATATTAGCTAAAATAAGAGCTAATTCAAGTTTCTGGTATCAAATTGCAGACCACACCTGAGCTTTGCACAGATCAAGAGCAGAAAGAATGGGAAAATTTTTGCGACAAGAGCTGTTCTCTTTGACAGAAGTGGCCAAGATGGCATGGGAGACAATGTCTAGGAGAGGCTCGAGTGTCACTTTGGAAGATAAACCACGAATAGTGCATTCTTCCCTCTTCTTGTTGCTCCATAATGTTTTTTTGTGCATTTCCCACTTTCAGATTAAGCTGGTCTTTGCATAGTAGAGTAAGGGTGGGCAGACTTTGTATAGGGACAACCAGTAAATATTTTCAGCTTTGCAGGCCATAACTGCTCAACTCTGCCCTTTGAACTCAAAAGCAATCACAGACAACATGTAAACAATTGGGAGTGACTATGTTCCAAATAGACCTTATTCACAGACATTGAAACTAGATTCGAATTAATTTTCAGGTGTCATGAAATAATTATTTTTCGTTTGATTTTTTACCATTTAAAAATGTAAAAACCTCCAGGCGTGGTGGCTCATGCCTGTAATCCCAGCACTCTGGGAGGCCAAGGTGAGAAGACTGCTTGAGCCCAAGAGTTCCAGACCAGCCTGGGCAACATAGCAAGAATTTGTCTCTACAAAAAATGAAAAGATTACCCGGACATGGTGGCAAGTGCCTGTAGTCCCAGCTACGCAAGAGACTGAGACAGGAGGATCGCCTGGGTCCAAGAGATGAAGGTTGTGGTGAGCCGTGATTATGCCACTATACTCCAGCCTGGATGATAAAGTGAGACCCTAACTCAAAAAATAAATAAATAAATAAAAACGATTATCTACTCCCAGGC